ATGAAAAATACCAACAAGAAAACGATAACTAACATAGAAACTACTAAACAAAAAAATTATTATGGCGGGGTACCCTAATTAGAGCCCTAAAAGGCTTTTGTGGCAGCTTTATTGACATAAACAACTTCATTTTTGGGTTCAAATCCTGTTTCATAACCCTAAGTTCAAGACTAATTTGCAGAGTCGTTCAAAACTAATTTTTAGATTTAACAAAGAATAGTAAATTCGTCATGTCTTAAAATATACATGTGCAACATCGCAACGTTTGTACCAATGGAAAAAATAAGTGCAAAATCAAATTTCTTTAAGAAATTATTTCCAAGTCCTTGCCTTGAGACATACACTATATTGTGATAGCACAAATTTTTTAGGGGTTTTGGAATAGTGTACGCTTTATGTTTTAATATGGCTTTGTAAAGTGAGAAAATTGTGTCTGGTGAAGAAGGTTTTAGCCAACTAGCAGTTTTAGTACACATCGTTGTTAAACTGTGTCCACTAGTATGGTACATTATGCACATGGCAATAGTTTCATTTATGTTAGCACAGGGGCGGAGCCAGAAAAAAATCTTAGTGGGGGCAAAAATAACATTAAAATTTTTTATCTACTCTTTTTCTAATTTTTTTAAGCAAAAAAAAAAAAGTCTCATGCATAAAATCACCGTTTCACAAGTTAAAATATTTATCAAATAACCTATTTATTAGTTATTACATTAACTAATTAATTTTCAAATTTCTTTAAAACAGTAATAGTCTCATGCTCTAGAAATATATTTGCAAACAAATTTAAAATAATAATAATAATAAGTAATTTTTTAGAGCCTGATTTTGATGGTCTCATAAAGTTGGTGAAAAGAACTGCAAAATGTGGCGGACCCAAGTCCTAGAAGATCAATTGATTCTAGTGTAATCTCTAAATAGGATGAAGTGATGAAAAGAAAGAGTAACAAGCTTTGGTTGTGGAAAAAAAAATGGCTCTCCTATGTATGTTGGGGAGTGAGGACAACCGAGAACCAGATGAGGAAAGGAAAAATTGAGGAGTGGGGACAAAGGAAATAAATGATAATTAGATAAAGTGATAAAAAGAAAAGTAGTTGGCTTGGGTGTGGAAGGAGTGGAGCCGGTTGTGAAGGGAAATGGGGGACCACAGGAGTAAAGAGAACTTGGGGAGTGGGGGTTGTGAAGGGAGATGGGGGACCACAGGAATAAAGGGAATTTGGGGAGTGAGAACCAAAAGGAATGACTGATATAATTGGTACTTGGTCCTATTGGTAGGAAAATGGGAACTAGAGGAGGAAAGTGAATGATATAAATTTTGTGACCCATTCTTTCACATTTTTTCTAAAAAAAATTCTGGGGGCACCTTTAAAATTATGTCAAAATTGTAGATGTATCCTAGGAATTTAAAGTGGGCAGTGGGGGCCCGTGCCCCCAGTGCCCCCACTTTAAATCCGGCCCTGTGTTAGCACAAATACAATTGTAGGGTACGGAAAACCTAAATGATGCTTAAGCTTTTCAAAATTTATACCTTTGTCTTCCAATTGTATGTGTTTTTGCCCCTTGATCCTTTACAACCGTGTAATTACAATTTTTTGTGAAATTCAGATGTATTTTCTAGCAAAAACCTACCTTGAAAAGACATAGTTTTGATGTGTTTTTGTTATCTTTATGGGCTCAAATGGACAAAACTACTGTACATATACACATTAAAAAGTTCGAGGGAGAAAATTAGGGTTAATTACATTTACCTCCCTGAGGTTTGACCATATTACCAATCAATCCCTGTAATTTGTCCATATAACGGTCTCACCCTTTGAATGATCAAACATTTAACAAAAACCCCCTTAATGCCGAAAATGCCCTTATTGAGGCCATGTTGCATTAAAAAAAGAACATATTTTTATTTTATTAACCCTGAAGCAATCCAAAAAAATAGAAAAAAGATTTTGCTTATTATTTTATAAAAATTATATCTTTGCTTCCATAAATAGTTTTGAATTAATAATTATTTTAAATCTTAAAAATGAATATTAAAAATTAGATAAATTGAAAGAAAAATAAAAAAAGAAGAAATTATTTTAATTCCTGAAGTATGGTTCAAATTGAGGAAAATATGCCTTATGCTCTCCGCAACATGCCTTGAACCACAAATTCGAACCATACTTGAGGATTTAAAATAATTGCTTCTTTTTTATTTTTCTTTCAATTTATCTAATTTTTAATATTCATTTTTAAGATTTAAAATAATTATTGATTCAAAACTATTTATGGAAGCAAAGATATGATTTTTATAAAATAATAAGCAAAAACTTTTTCTATTTTTTTGGATTGCTTCAGGGTTAATAAAATAAAAATATGTTCTTTTTTTAATGCAACATGGCCTCAATAAGGGCATTTTCGGCATTAAGGGGTTTTTGTTAAATGTTTGATCATTCAAAGGGTGAGACCGTTATTTGGACAAATTATAGGGATTGATTGGTAATATAGTCAAACCTCAGGGGAGGTAAATGTAATTAACCCAGAAAATTATATTAAACAGTTTAAAGACTAAAAATATGCAATCCTGAAAGTTTGAGGATCACTTGGATTTTTTTTGCCTTCGTACAATAATTTGTCAGTATACATTTAACCTATAGTTGTCAATACCAACTGAATTATGTTGATCCGCTCATTAATTAATGGGTTTGAATTAATACTCAAAGAGCATTCATCCATAAATTGGTTGCTAGTACAAATAATATAAAGAAATGTAACCAACGTTTATTGGAAAATACAACCCTAAAGATTTGGAACTGGTAGTGATTAGCGCTAACCATTGAATAAGTTTCTTTAAGGAATAAATATAAAAGTAAAAGCCATGTATCCATAATCTTCTTACCAGCCCTAAGGTATGAGTTTCCAAGTCTAAGGGAAAGTATTCGAACATGGCCAGTCATAATAGAAGAAATGGAAGATCCTTCTACAAGTTTTTCATTGCTTCTTGATAGTACATCGTCTTCAAAATGAGAGAGAAGATGATACACTCAGATTGTATTATTTAAGGGTGGGTTTGATAAAACTGAGATTTGGATCTATTAAATTATTAAATTGTTAAGTACTGAATTTGGTACATTTGAATGTATATCACATTAAGTGATAAGTGCATAGATTATCACTTATTTTTGGAAACAAATTTTGCCTAAAAAATTCAATATTACTTAATTAATTCTTAATTTAGATTTTTTATTTTTTGTTATTAAACACCTCTAAACATGTTAAAATTTGAACTCGTTAAATTTAAATGTTGAATAAGGTTATCAAATAGGGCCAGTGTTTATTAGTTGCCAAATATCCTACTCCTACAATTGGTAGATCGCTGGTGTCACGATCCGGGTCCCAGGGTTAGTCCAAGTAATTTTTGGACCAAAATCCACCGGTCCAAAATAGTTAACCCAAATTACTCAATGTCCATTAGATCCAAGTACTTATAACCCAATCCATTTCTTTCCCAATCCAATTGGGAAAGAAATGGATTGGGTTATAAGTACTTAGGCCTAATGGCTATTGAGTAATTTGGGTTAATCATTTTGGACCATTGGATTTCGGTCCAAAAATTACTTGGGCCAGTCCTTGGATCCGAGTCTTGACGGTATCAAAGTGAATCTCGTGTGGCTTCTGCGCGGGTGAGCCTGGGCCAATCGGGTCATGATAGTTGGTATGAAGGCGAATCTCGCGTGGCTTCTACGCGGGTGAGCCTAGGCCGGCAGGTTATGATTCCGACTACGCAAGGAAGTGCAAAGAACTAAGTGCTGTGTGGAAACCACCTTTAGAACTTACGAGATTAAGTGCCCCATTAGACAGGGCCACCTTTAGAGTCCGAGCATGACCAATTGGACAGTCTGAACAAGTGTCACGATCGATGGGAACCTCCTCTAGAATCTATAGGACTAAGTTTCACGTCGGACAGAGGCCACCTCTAGTACCCGTACGACAGAAAGTCCTAAAAGTGGGAAGAATGTAGTATCCCACATTGGAATTGAAAAGGAAATGCAATGGGTATAAGTACTTGGGTCGAATGGCTATTGAGTAATTTGGGCATTTTGGCCAACACTTAGACCCCAGTCATGACAACCGGGTTAATCAAATAAGTTGTGTTCTATAATAGCGTGATAGTTTGCTTTATCTTCTTTTTGTTTAAAGAAGGAATTCGATATAGTCGGTCTTAAAACAAATTGAAGATTTAGACTCATATGTTAATGGGTGTTAAATGGATAAATTTAGATTCCAACTAGTGTTTTAAAAGGTGAAACGTTAGGCAAGGCAATTTATATTATTCCAGGAGAGATTAAAGCTCGAGGCACAGGGCATAAAGCCCCATGACATTTAATTTTTAATAATCTAAAACTTAATAGGATGGAATGGTCTATTATTGATACAACATTAACTAAATATACAACATATAATCACTAAAATCATAGTTACGTTGAAAAGAAACTCGAAATTGTTGCAAAAGTCAGAAATTGAATGTATTTTAGCATTGTATTGTACTTGAACCATGAAAATATGTCTACCGGCAGCAAACAATGAAGCACCAGAAAAATCCATTCGGTTTTTTTTTTTTAGTTTTTCAATTGTTTCTTCCTTTTTCCTTTTTATTCATCTAATAAGTAGGCATGGCAACATGAGGCTTTGGGGTGGGGACCCTTTCTTTGCCGGCTAATTACTTAGAATATAGGTTAAAAAAAGAAAAGTCAGACATTTACTGATCTGACACAGGGTGGGTACAAATCTATGGGTGCCGGGTTGACACAGCCCGGCACCTGACATAAAAAAAAAAAAATTTTTAAAAAGACGGCTGGTGCTGGGCAGTGTCAGCCAGGCACCTGACATCGAAATTTTTTAAAAAACGGTGGTAGGTGCCGGGCTGACACAGCCCGGAACCTGCCAGAATTTTTTTTAAAAAGATGTCAAGTGCCGGGCTGACACATGACCTAATTATTTCCAAAAAGCTGGCCAGAGCTGATAATTTTAAGCTCACTTGCAAGGAGAGCCAAGGGATGTGTCCTATCTACTTCAGGTCCGAAATATATATTATCCATCACCTGAAATACCAAGACATCAACTTTTAAGCAGTACTTTGTTGCCACAGTATTTTGTCAAAAATAGTAACAGGCATCCACTAAAGAAATAAATATCTGAAACCATTTTATGTGATTTACCCTCATGCATGCAGCTTCCAATGACCGATCAACATATCCTTTCACTTTCCTCGATGTAATCTCCCCCAAATCATCAGATTCTATAAACTGCAAGCATGAAAGTGGTTCATCATGGAAATTGCACCTTTATTTCTCATCTAATATCATCAAATAAGTTAATATAGAGTAACCCATTAATTAAGAATGAAAAAGAAAATGCTAAGTAACATGTAGCTAAAATATGTGACAGCATCAATAAAAAAAAGGGTTAATCACATTTTATCCCTTTAAGGTATACCTCATTTCTCAGTTTACCCCCTAACCTTTAATTTTGCAAACTTAACCCCCTTTAGGACAAAATTGCCCTTACATTATTTTGACTTTTTATTTACCTTATTTTCCTTTCTTTTATTTCTTTTTCTCTTTCTTCTTTATTTAATTCTTCCTCTTTCCCACAAAAATCTTCACCTTAATGATTGAAATTAAAAAAGAGAAATTGCAGAGATCTATCTTCTCCTTAAATGATTAAAAAAAATTCAAACAACTCCAAATATACAAAAAATATATGTATATATAAATAATATATACAAAAAATATATTTTGTTTAATAAATATATATATTTATATATAAATATTAATACAAAAATTAATATTTATATATTTTTTAAAATATATATATATACTTATAAAATTAATAAAATATATATACAAATATATATATTTATATATAAATATTAATATATTTTGATTAAAATATATTTATAAATATATATTTATGTAAATATATAATATAATTATTGATATATATTTATAAATATATTTATTTCAAAAAATAAAATTAATAAAATATATATACAAAAAATAAAAATAAAACATATATACAAAAAATAAAATTAATAAAATATATATACAAAAAAATAAAAATATATATATATATAAATATAAATATTTTGTTTAAAATATATTTATAAATATATTGATATATACTTATGTAAATATATAAATATATTTATTTTTATATATTTATATAAATTTATAAATATATTTATTTCAATTTGGTTTTATAATATGTATATTAATATGTATATTTCAATTATGTATATTATATTATATATATTATAGTAATATTAATACATTTCAATTATGTATATTATATATATTATATCAATTGAAATAAATATTATATATTTATATATAAATATTAATATTTTTTAAAACATACATGTTTTATTATAAATTATATTAATATACATGTTTTATTTATAAATTATATTTATATTATATATAAATATATATTAATATACATATTATAAAATAAAATTGAAATAAAAATATTTTATATATAAATAAATATTAATATATAGAAACAGAGCCAGTATATATTTTTAAAAAATTCCAAAAAAAATATAAATTATAAAAATACTCAAAAATGTATTTTAAAAATACCTCTAAAAATAATCCAAAAAACATCTATAGTAAAAGTTTTTCATATACACAGTTACAGTAAAGTTTAAAAAAAAAACACCTCCAAAAATAGTTAATCCAAATGTAGCCAATATTTCCATAATTCTAAGGATCCCTACATTTTTTTTAGCATATCCCTACAAATTGACTAAGGGATAGAAAAGAAAAGGGATTAGGAACAAATACAGTAAGCATCTAGACTTCTTATTTGGGATAGACCACAAAGTAAAACAGGCATGCCATTGTGTGCGCATGAGCTCACACAGAGAAGCAACCTGAAATGGCAGAAGTCACAAACCAACAATCCAACTAGCAGGGAAACCTCTCTCTGTAACATTTCCAAAGGAGCCAAAAATTGAATTCCTGAAACTGCCAAATTCTTACCTCACACTGGGGGTGGGCAAAATTATCCGCTAACCCGAAAACCCATCATATCCGATCTGATCTAACCCGAAAATTAGGATATCCTATTTTTATTATTTAATTAGGTCAAAAGAGGGTCGGGTACCCGCTAAGATGCGGGGCGAGTTAGGGTCACATAATTAAAAATCCGCGGGTACCCGACCCGCCCCACATATATATATTATTTTTATTTTTATACGCACACTATAAAATAATAATTTAGAACAAAATAAGTAATTTTATTGAACAAATTGCATTATAAATATGAGAGACTATAGTTTATTTACAAGATTCATTTGTAGAGGCCATGATCTTTGATTTTATAAAAAAAAGTTTAATTAATGTGGAACATATATATTAAAAATTGTGCTACTTATTTCAAAGTTTTATTGATTTTAAATTCTTTTAATTTTTTTCCTTTATCTTATATTCTCTTCACATGCTTGTTTCTTGGTGGGAAACCTTTTTGTAGAAAAAAAATTTATTATATCTTAGATGGATGTATAAAATATAAAATTAAATTGGTATAAATCATTTTTTTTAAAATTAAATGATAAATGGGGCAGGGCGAGTACCCGCTGATCTGACCCTATCTCAGTGAGTACTCTATAATCGGGTACCCATTGATATGCGAGGCGGGTAAGGGTCAGAAAATAGCTGACCCGCAAGATGCGAGTCGGATTAGCCAAATGGTGAATGGGGCAGGTACCCGACCCGCACCCACCCCAAGCTCGCACACGACTTGTTGGTCTGACAGCTCTGGCCTGCTTTGTAGAAATAATTAGGTCATATGCCGGGCTGTGTCAGCCGGCACCTGACATCTTTTTAAAAAAAAATCTGTCAGGTACCGGGCTGTGTCAGCCTGGCACCTGCCATCTTTTTTTTAAAAAATTGGATGTCAGGTGCCGGGCCATAGATTTGTATCCACCCTATGTCAGATCAGTAAATGTCTGACTTTTCTTTTTTTAACCTATATTCTAAGTAATTGCCTTCTGCCCTGCCTTCAGATAACTCCCTCGGTCCCATACAACGTGCAGGTGCTCAAGAAATTTTTTTTTAATTGTTACCATCTACTCTACTCTTACTCTTATTCTAACATATTCTAGAGGGAGGCCCAATTGGAGCAAATGAAAAATCAATGGGAACTGAACCACCATTAAACCGGATGAATGCACAATACACCTGTATGTATTTGGAGAAGTCACATAGTGGCAAAGTGATGGAAGGCAAAATTTAAACTTTTGACCTCCCATCTCACCAAGAATTTAAGTCATTAGTAGTGCCCAACAACCTAAACGGCTGTAAGTGCCCATGATTGGTAACTTCATTTTTGTATTTCTCGAGTCTAACAACTAAATTCACTACTATTACTACTACTACTGATAGTACCATAATTGCTGCTGCTACTATTACAATTACTAATAGTCTACTACCATGCTCTACCTCAATTTACTGCTATTACTAATTAATCACGTGTAAGGTCCAAGAGCAACTTAAGAGGGGGAGGGTGAATTAGATTGAATAGAAATCAAGTAAAAATAGCAAATTTTCATTCAACTTTACTCTCCAAATTAATCTAAGTGAACATACACTTGAGCCTCATGCAAGATATTAAATAAAAGGAAAAGCAAATAAAGTAAAAGATTGATAAACCAATTTATAGTGGTTCAATCACCCTCCTTGATGCCTACATCCACTCCCAAACTTCTTCAAGTTTGGAATTCAATCCACTAAGAATTTCTTCCAATCTTAGTGAAGCAAAGCAACTTGTACAAAGAAGGGATCACGCTTTGCTCATACCAAATTTATCCAAGAGTTTGCTCATACACTTTCCACAAAGAGTTTGTCTATATTAGTAAAAGATAGACAAACCAATTTATAGTGGTTCGCTCCCCTTCTTGGTGCCTATGGCCACTTCTAAGCTTCTTCAAGCTTGGAATTCAACCCACTAAGAGTTTCTTCGAATCTTAGTGAAGCAAACCAACTTGTTCAAAGAAGGATTTACCCTTTAGTCATACCTTTCTACCCTAATTGAACCAACGGGTTTTACAACTCTCACTAGTCAACCCTTTCTAAGTTATAATTGAATGCTCACCCAACCAATGAAGTAACTCTTTTCACTTTTCGGCCTCACAAAAAATATAAGTACACATACAAGGAGTAATTTTCCTCAAAATCAGTCTCACAAAACTTGTAGTTTTATAGGCAAAAGTTTCTCTAATATTTCAAGCCTTGGGGTATTTATGGAAGATGAAAATCTGATCCAAGAAGCTCCCAACGGCAAAAAACACTCATTGTTAAAAACTAACCATTGCGATTCTCGAATGCCTGAACCAAATGCTTTGGGTCTGAACTATACATAAGAAACCCAATCGGATGGCGATCCAAATATTTACTGTTCGACAAATGCATCAGAAAGAGATTAGTAGCTTTCCAAGTTTTGCATTTAATTTCGAACGGCTGATAGAATGAGTTAGCATTCAACATTTTATCCGATGTTATTTGCTTCAATGTTCGGACAACTGACCCGTCATTATGCTTCCAACGTTGTGTCCAATGATAGGGGATATCTCCATTGTGGTGTTTCGGATGTCCAATCAAGTAATTGTGTGTATGAAACTGCATCTGATGCTGAGCGACAATTTCTATTCCTTCTTATTTTTCATTCTTTCTATTTTTGGATATTTGAGCATCTATTCTAGCAAAATTCTCACTAAAAATATTAGTCCAAATCATCATTTTGCCTTGTTAATCATCATAACTAAGGATTGATCGACTTAAATCTTCATTACAGATAACTAATTAAGAATTTTATTTTAATTAAGACTCATTTATAGTTTTTAGGTTATATATAAAATTCATATTTATATTTATTAAGTATGCAGCGGATAGGGCAAGGGATGGGGTATCATCCCCCACCCTCAGCGTCATTTAAAAAGTGGGAAGAAAAATCTCCTTCCCTTCTCCTCTTCCCCCATATCCTCCTACACTTGACGCATGCTCTTCGTTACCATCCCTTATAACTAACAAATTTATTTAAGACTCAAGTTTCTTTTCATTGTTTAAGGCGTTTGGATGCTTCAAGTGCTTCAAGCGTACGAAGCTCAATGCTTAAGGCTTTGGTTAGCTAATTGCCCGATAAGCCTACATACATCTTGATACGAACTCGACCCAACAAGGACTTGTCATGAAGAACCAAGTCGGACATAATGCATCAACCTTCATGTCTGAAACTTCTTTCATTTCAGTGGCGGAGCTAGAATATTGTTCAATTGGGCACAAATTCACATTTGTAATTTTTTTTTCTAATCCACAGGTAACTAGTAATAACAAGCATGTGTTTAATATCAATAATAACACAAGTAACAAAATCAAATTTTTCATAAATTTTTTTTGTATAAAATGGAGTCACTCTTTTTAAAAAAAATGACTTAAATATAATAAATTAATAAAATTCTACTACTTTTGATACAAAGTACAAAAGCAGTGAGACAAGGTAGAGGGAGGAGTTTGGTATAAATAAATTATGTCATTTAATGCATTGCCTAATGTACCTTTATTTCTAAAAAGAGTTACTACATCATTTTAACTACCTAATTTTCTATTACCACTCCACATGAATTGAATTAACTGACACTTTTCTAACAAAAAATTACCATTTTCCTCAAAATACTAAAAAATTGATCTTTTTTAAACTAAGACTTTTCAACAAAAATAAATTAAATTTTTAAATATCTTTTTATTAGTTGCACACACATTGAATGTGTGCTTGAAATAATAATGTGTGAGAGTTTGATGTCCTAGATAGTTGCAGTTATGCGTTTCTTCTCTTCCTTACTTTATGACAAGTTACAATAATAATCTTACTAGATCATGTAGTTATTTCAAAATTGAATGGGGGCAAAACTTCAAATTTTTAAAAATTTTTTATGCTTAATAATTGTATTTTATTTGACCTAGTGGGGGCACGTGCCTCCGCTGGCACCACCAATGTAAATCTGCCCGTGTTTCATTTAGTTATACATCTGAAAAACCCAAGTTGTTAAAGCCAAGGCCAAGGTCCATTAGTCAGTTTTCATGGTCCAGGAGCAAATTCTATTTTCGAAATAGTGTGTAGGCTAATATACACACAATCTTGTGGAATTGATCAGTAGACATGGAAAAATCCAGGAAAACTGTGGGAACCAAAAAATATTGAGCAATTTTCTCCAAAAAAATTTTACGTTTTCTGTAAACATATTTTTCTATCACCTTTTTAACTCATATGTAGCAAATCGTAACTCCAGAAAATACCAAACGGAATGAAAGTTTTCCACGAGAAAACCAAAAAGATCCAAATACTCTTAGATTTTGGTGAAGATGCATAACAGGAATTCCTCTTCCTGGCGGGAATTGGAAAGAAAAAGATATCATTTCTTCTTGATTACTAATTCTAGAGTATAACTTGGAAGCAACCACTGATTCAATTACTCAATAATGAAAGCCTGCAAAGAAAGCATCTTCTTAACTAGTCTTATGTACTTTCTGTTGTTCCTTCCCAATTAGCCTTTAATGTATTTTATGGGATCAAATTTAGATGCCTGATACATATCATCTATTGATAATGAAGAAAAACTTAACTATATCCTTTGCTCATCAGACGACTTAATTCAACGTAGAAAATGCTACAACCTAATAGATGTCCTTTAAGATCGAATGTTAGGCACTAAAATTATCATAAAGAAGTATCTCAAATTCTTTCACAACTTTAAAAAAAAAATCTTTTGCAAAACTCTACAACTTTGTGCATTTCCTCCAAAATCCAGTTTGACGTGTAATACCATAGCTTTTGCTTATTTGAAAACAAATTCTTGACTTGACTTCACTAGTCCTGAATGCTGAACAAATTACCTGAGGATACAAGACCAGGAAACCATGGTAAAGTACCCTAGCACTGTATCATTCTATGTAATAT